CCCCCGAAGTGTCCTGAGAAGGTGCAAGTGGTGTCATGTGTTCTGGAAAAGGTGCCCTGATTTCTTATCCCAGAATAAGTCACTTGGGGATGCCCTGATGTGCCAATGTCCCCCTCTTCCCCCCCCACCGAGAAGCCCGAGGTCTTGGCCAAAAGGGGTACTTGAAACAGAGCAGGCCGCTGGCCTCTGCGCACGCACCTGCTTGGCCAGCTGGATCAACAGGAAGGCGGCAAAATAATCCAAAAGAGGACATAAGGAATAATTTATAATGCACGCTGTTGCTGATAAATCAACAAGGCCCTCGTTATATCATCAAGAAGGTAAGTTAGCTTTTCATTCCGTCGCATGGCAATAAACATTGATAAATTATCAAGTAGGGGAGTCAGAATCTGCCAAGGAGCAATGAACGAGTTAAAAGCTGGGGAGGAATGAAAAAGGAAGAAAAGAAAAGAAGAAAAGGTGCAGGATTTCTGTCTATTACATAGCAATAAATCAATTCGATTTATAGCAGACGTTGCTGCTGATAAATCTGGTGGAGCAAATAAGTGGGGGGCCATTCCGATGGGGGGCAATTGACACTGGAGGAACAGAGGTCTTTATTCTATTGCATAGCAATATATGAACCATTCATAGTGGGCCCTGTCACTGATAAATTAAGATTGGGGATGGAAAGGGGAAGAAAGGAAAGAGCAATGGCTGGAGCTGGAACAAACCCGTGTGGGTTCATGCACACGCGTGTGCTTGCCAACAGTACAACAGTATTTGCCAAACGGATCTGTTTTGCTGCGCTCCCAACTTGGATACCAGATGCTGATCTAGGCGATGCGGGGAGTGCTGAGCACCGCGGAGGCTGCAAGCGCCAGAGTCCGCCCGCGGAGGGCCCGGGCAGGCGGCGGAGGCTCCAGCAGAGGGGCCGCAGGTCAGAAGTTGTTGTCGATGTTCCAGACGTCCCCGCTCAGGGCGTTGGCCGCCCCCTGGAGCGTCCAGGTGACCAGGGCGAGTTGCCGGCGGAAGAGGACTTCGTCGAACCTTTCTGGGGCGTCCCGCAGGAGGCTGACGTGCTCCAGCAGAGCCTGCAGGGTGTGAGGCCCTCGGCCATGTAAGATGTGTCGGAAGGGGGTCTCGGTCACCGCCACGTACTGAGACAGGAAGTAGAACTCCACCTGCAGAAGCGAAGTCCCCAGCAGAGAAGGAAAGGCACGCTTTGCGCCTGACGGGTGCAGCTGTGGGCAAGGAGCTGAAACCCTCGGGGCTCCTCTCATCCCTGCAAACCCGCCCCCCCTCCCC